TTCTTGTTTCTTTTTTCTTTTTTCCATTTTTTTCTTTTTTCTTTTTTTTAATTTCTCTTTTTTATTTTTTCCTTTTTTTCTTTTTTCCTTTTTCCTTTTTCCTTGTTTCCTTTTTCTTTTTCCCATTTTTTTCTTTTTTCTTTTCTCTTTTTTTCATTTCTCTTTTTTTATTTTTTCCCTTTTTTTCTTTTTTCCTTTTTCCTTTTTTCTTTTTCTTGTTTCTTTTTTCCTTTTTTCTTTTTTTTCTTTTTTCCTTTTTTCTATTTCTTTCCTTTTTCCCTTTTTTCTTTTTTCTTTTTTCTTTTTTCCTTTTTCCTTTTTCCCTTTTTTCTTTTTTCTTTTTTCTTTTTTCTTTTTTCTTTTTTCTTTTTCTTTTTCTTTTTCTTTTTTATTTTTCCCCCTTTTTTCTATTTTATTTTTTCTTGTTTCTGTTTTCTTTTTTCTTTTTTCTTTTTTTATTTTTTCTTTTTTCTTTTTTCTTTTTTTTTTCTTTTTTTTTCCTTTTTTTTTCTTTTTTTTTTTTATGTTTCTTTTTACTTTTCATTATGTTTTTGGAACCACAAAGGTAGTGTTGCTTCCCAGTGTGCTTAGTTGAGCCTCCCAAAACACACAGGCACCTCTCTGGAAAGCATTCCCCCCTTTCCCAAGGCTCTGTTTAAGGCTCTGATAACATTTTCAGGGAGGAGACATGCCAGAAGGGAATACTCTTCTTTTTGCATCACCAAGATAAAATGCAGCAGTTCTGCTTTATTTTCAGGATTATTAAAAATCCTTGAGGTTGGGATGCTGTTTCTGGGATTGTCTGGCACTGGTGTGGGATGAGCTTGTCCTCTCTATGGTGGCATCATTCAGCACCTCTGGACACTGCTGGAGACTGCCAGATCCACCATCCTAGGAAGTCACTTATTTTATTCAGGAGTTTCTCTTCAATTCAGACACCAAAAAAAGAGGCCATAAAACATCTGAGCGCGTTGGAAAGTCTATTCCACCGGCAAAACGAACCACGTTAAATTAACGGGGAGACTTCTTGACTTGACAGGATCCTGATTTGTCTTTGGCCCAAAGGCTTGAAAAGCACTTTTAAGAGGTGGCCACCAGCTGCTGCGGGAGTGTGGAGTAAATTTAATGTGATTTTTATTCAGCTCCTGGTGACGATGGCAGGAAAATCTCAGCAACTCGTTTGTGCCTGGTGTGAATTTTAGCGCAGAGATGGAAACGGATCCCAGTTCTGCCACCCTGGACAGTCCCAAGTAGCTTTCAAAGCAATGCCAACACATTTCCAAGAAAAAAATAAGCAGAGGTTTCGTGACAGGGCTTTATTTTCCCAGCCGTTTCCATGTGCTGCCTGTGATCTGGAGGTGCCCTCTGGAAAGATGATTGCCGGTGGTTTCCCTTTCTTATCTGCCTCAAAAGCTTTGTGGTGGAACAAAAGAGTCACGGTGGGGAAATTAAGATGCAATGGGGCGATATGGAACAATAGGACAGTTAATTTAATGTGAAAGTTAAAGAGGAGGGTGCTAAAGGGTCAGGTTGAACCTCCCCACATCCTTCCCATCCCCCCAACGCCCTGATTGATACTGTCTGGGTTGTTCTGAGCAGAGGCTGGATTCAAATATGTTATTTCCTTCCAGGACATCAAAGGGGAAAATGCCTCGGTTTTTAGGAGCTGTGCCATGAAAGGAAATGGTCATTGCTTTTTCCCCAAACAAGTTTTTTTCATCTATTTCATTCTCATAGGGGCATTGGTTTAAATTGCAATAAACAAGCAGCTCTCTGGGTGCTGAGGACTGTCCACCCACGTGTCCTTGTCCGTGGGACTCTGTGTCTTTCTGCTGCTGTTCCAGAGCAAATCTCCTCCTAAGCTGAGATTTGGGGGTCACTGAGCTGCTTTCTGTCCACCCTGAACACCTTTTTTCCCCCTTCCTTTTGTCTTCCCTGGGAGTAAGGAAGTTCTGCCAGCGGATCTGGAGGCGAAGGCTGCCCTTTCTTAACCTGCCAAGGGGATAAGAGACCCAGTGTGTATTTAACCTAAACTTTGTTTTTATGACTTTCTAGGCTTGTCTGTGCATTTTCCTGGTTTTGCTTTGTTCTCCGGGATCCTCAGCCAAGTTTCTGTCCCCTCCCTGGCTCCTGGGCCAGCAGTTCTTGCTTTCCACATATTTTTAATCCTCTATGGCAAAGACCTTTGGTAGTTTTGGGCAACGTAACAGCTCTTCTCTTGGCTGCATCCCCACCACGCTGCTCTTTTGCTTGAAAATCCTTGAAATCCCTCAAATTCAGGGGGATACAGAGAGGGTGGGGATTCCTGGTCCATCGTAAAGCGTTTGGGAGATCAAGCATCCAGCAGGGAATATTTGTGGGGATGGAGGGGGAGGATCCCAGGTGAATCTCGGGATGTTTGAGGGATAGAGTGGAGGTCTGGTCCAGCCAGGGCATTTGGGGGATGGAGCAGGCAGGTCCCTGGTCCAACATGGGTGTTGGAGGGTATGAACTGGTGTCTCCCTAGTGCTGTAGGGAGCATTTGGGGGGATGGAATGAGTGATCTCTGCTCCAGCTGGGGCACTTGAGGGATGGAGCATCCCTGTGTAGGAGCCCCTCTCCAGTCGATGCCCTCACCAACAAGATGGGATGCACACTGAGTAAGCCCAGGGGCTTCATCCTTTGGCCCCCAATTTGTGCTCTACCCCATGGCGAGCGAGGTGGGATGAGCTTCCCCGCGCCAGAGAGGGAGATGCTCCTGCAGAAACCCAGGAACCTCCTCCCGAGGGAGCCCGACGCAATTGCCGTGCCTGCCGCAGCACGCCGCTAAATCTGCCCGTGTCCCGTGACCGCACGCGTGTTAAAAAAGCACCTGTTCGCCCCCAAAGCCACCGGGACACCGGGCGAGCGTCTGGGCGAGCGCAGCGAGAAGCCGCGGTCAGGGGGGTCAGGGCTTTGATCCCCGGGAGGCGAAGGGGTTCGGGCAGCTGTGCCCAGAGCTCTCCCGCAGCCGCTCTGCTACTTCGGTGACATCCTTTTACAAAGCCGATCCTGTGTCCGCGGCGCCTCGTTACGGTCCCCCTTCCACCTGTCCCTCCCCGCCGCCCCAGCCCGGGGTCCCTTCCCCCGGGGCTGCCAGAGGAGGGGATGCGAATCGGATTTCACGGCCCCGACGCCTGCCAAAGAGCTGCCGGGCTTTGCTCTCCCTTCCTCAGAAGCCCCGGTCCCCAATGGCCTCTTTGTTCTCCCCCCCGGCACGGCCTGCCAGCAGCTGGGCTCTCCATCCAGCTGTGCTGGGATGAAACGGCCTCAAGCTGCGTCAGGGGGAGGCTCGGGCTGGGCATCGGGAAGGATTTCTTCATGGAAAGGATCGTCAAGCGTTGGAAAGGGCTGCCCAGGGAGGTGGTGGAGTCCCCACCCCTGGAGGGGAAGTGCTACTTGAAACAAGGTTAATAAACCTTTCCAGGCTTTAGCCACGCTTTTCCCGTAATTCCTCAAATAAGGTGGGTCTGAAAAGGAAGAGAGACGGATACAGAACAAGAGGTGTGGGGAAAAACAATTTGGATAAGCAATCAAGCATATTTCCATAGCCATAAATATTTCATGGCACAGGCAGGCACACCCCAGGCTTATTGGTCTGAGCCCCTGTGATGAGGAGGTCGCTTCCCATCCCTCAGTGGCTTCCTGTCTCCAAAGGCTTGAAGGGCCCACAGCTGTCAAGAGGAGGTGGAGGAGTGGCAGCCCTTCCAACCCAAACCATTCTGGGATTCTGTGAAGTTGCTGGAACCATGGGAGCATCCCTTGATGCAGAAGCATCCCTTGATGCTTAGAATGCACAACCACTCCTCCACCTCCTCTTGACATTTTCTCAAGATCTGAGTCTTTTGCAGGATGCCATGGCATTGGATGTGCCAAAAAATTAACAATCAGGCACAGCCACCAGCTCAGCCCAGCCCAGCCCAAAGTCAGGACTTGGCTTCTCTTAATAATTCCCTCATCAGCCTGGTGGGAGGTTCTTTGTATGGAGTTTTGGGAATTCTGCTCCTTCTCCCTGCCTTTCGCTGGAAACAGTCCCTTTTCCATCAGTAACGGGAGAGCAGCGTGGGGAGACAGGCATGGAGCACAGGCTGAGCCATCAGATTTGAAAGGAATACAATAAACTGTGAAGGAAAGCCAGTTGTTTAAAAGACCAAAGTGCTCTCAGTCAGTACTGAAATAATCTTCTAAAAAAAGAGCTCTGCACACTCCACAAATAAAGGAGGTGTGTGACAGAAACAGCATCAAGAATGTTAACTCTTTGATTGATTACTGCTGAATCCCCGAATTCCCAGCTTCTTTGGGTGTCACTACAGCTGGGAAGGGTTCCTCTTGTGTCAGCCTCTGCCTTGCCACTCTGCTGTGGTTTAGTCCCACACCCATTGCACTGTAATTCTGAGGAAGCCTGTCTGGAGCTGGCACTGAAGCCACCACCATCACAGACAAATCCCCATCCCACTCTCCTCCCTCTTCACACTTACCTTCACAGTTACTGGCACTTAAAAGCTCTGAAGAGGGACTTTTTTTCATCAAAAGCTGCCCAAAACTAAGTTGAAACTGCCCTATGAGCACATCCATCCTTCCCAGAGAACTGGGGTGGGGGGACACAGCAGAAAGGACAAGCCCCACTGCTTAGAGAATCCCCTCTGGGAGCTCTTCTCTAGGGGGATATTTTGGGATGCACCCAATGCCTCCATATTTCACATCACTATTTAATTTAAGCCATGGAGCTGTTTATTCTGTAAGGACACCATGCTTTTATTAGCCATTTATTTACAGTATGAGGCATTCCCCACGTGCATGACCTGCTGGAGACCATAGCACAAGCCTATTTATTTTGGAGCCTGGTCCAATTTACACTAACCAGGGAGCAGGGATCCCTAAAAAGGCTGGTGAGAGGAGCAGAGCCAGCCCGTGGGCTCTAATAACGCAGCCATTATAAGGTCCTATGCATTACCTCTCATAAACATGTGCTCTGGATTTGATCTGGGAGCAAATCTGGTTTAGATGGGTCTCTTTTTAATGTAAATTCCACGGGTGGGAGCCCACTGGGAGGCTCAGAGCCAATGACTCCACACCACTGGTCCCCATCACTTTCTTCCCACAGCGTGTGCAGAGCTGGGGGCGAAGAGTAATGGGCATCCCTCAGGGGGGATGTGGTGCAAGGCACACAGGAAACACTGGCTTTGGGATGGGGAAAAAAAAGGGTCGATCCCAGGTCTGGGTTGGTTTGGCACTGGGGGATGTCAGGTTTCCTCAGTTTCCCCCCTGCAAAGCAAGATGTTCCCGCTCTGCACAGAGCCCGGCGGACAAAACCACACAGTGCCAACGTTCACCAGCACCATCAACTCCATCAGAACCTTGCTGCTGCTGCATCCCATTCCCAAATATTCACCTTCTGTTTTATGAGGAGAAAAGCAAGATTCAGGAATTGTTTTACAGGATGCATTTCCCTCTGCGGCACCCCAAAGCTCTCCTGGGGGAACCCGAAACACCAAACATCTGGGTGCAGCAACAAACAGTAAGAAACAACAGTGCACTCATTGTTTTGCAGCCTTTTATAATCCATTCAATGATTTTTAAATAAACTGGATGGAAAACGATAGAAATTCCAGGCCCTGGAACCCATTATTCCCACATGCCAAGCCTGACGCCACTAAGTGTAACAGGGACTCTGAAGTTAATGAAATTCCTGCCTGAACAAACTTTTATCCTGCTGTTTGGTAAAATGACTTGTGCATCATAAAAGCAACATCACTCAAGCTGTTAAGACGTCGTCTGTGGAAAGGCAGGCAAAGGAGCAGGAGGAATATATTTGCTAAATTGCATAGAAGCAGCAACATATATTTAAAATACATCTTGATTAGGTCACTGGAGGCTGTTGAGTTGAAAGCACGAGGGTGAACTGATCAACTGCTGTGCCAGCAATTGAGGTCTCCAAGTTAAATTTATCTCCAGATTTTAACTGAGTTTCATACAAAACATCCATACAACACCCCACCACGCCTGGAAAGGCTCCATTCCTAGAGCAGTTCTCTGTAAAAAAAAAAAAATGTTTCATTGACAGTCAAATGAATAAATGACTGAATCACTTCAAAGCCCCCAAAGGAGCGGTTTTTTTTTTCAAGAACACATTTTAGATGACAGCATCCGCCTAGTTTCTAAAATTCCTGATAATCCTCCCATTCTGAGCAAAGATCTGTTTTGCACGAGAGGAGTTTTGCAGAGAAGAAACTCTTCCAGCTGGCCCTGATTAAGGTTTCCTTTGTCCAGACGAAGCACATTTCTAGAGCTCGGTTTTTAAAACCCTTGTGTGCGCTCTGCTTTTCCCCCACGGGGCTGGAGAACCCCCTTGGAGGGCTGGAGAGCACTGAGAGCTTTTGAGAGCCCTTGCAGGGAATATATATTGATTATTGGCATCACATTCTGCTCTTTCCCCCATCCCTGGAACTGTCCAAGGCCAGCTTGGGGCAATCTGGTCTAGAGGAAGATGTCCCTGCCCGTGGCAGGGGGTTGAAATGAGATGAGTTCAAGCTTTGAGTTGGGCTCCTCCCAGCCCAAACCAGTCTGTGATTCTATGACATAACCCCAGCAGGTTTCCAGAAGGACTTCACTGGCACAAGGAGCCTTCTCCTGCAGGGAAAGGGTGCAGCAGGAGGTGGACATCCCCTGGCTTTAAGCTGGTCTGCTGCTGAGCAACGTAGGCATAGAAAGTATTTTGGACTGGAGGCTTAAGGGTGGTTTCTTGGAAGAAATCACTCTTTCTCTGCTGCTCTACCTAACATAAGCCTGGAGGACTTGCTGCATATTTTCCCCCACTGAACATCACTGGGAGTTGTCCCTTCCAAGCCCGTGCCTTGGAAGATTCCAGAGCTGTGCAGTCCCAGAGCCAGATCCACCCCAGAGGTGTGTTTTCAGGCCTCTGAATGCCTCAGCAATGCCCTGTTACTCTTCACACCCATCCTACAGCTTGAAAAAGATAAGCTGTTGAGCACAGGAGGACAGAAAAACACCAGGAGGAGGGTGGTCAGTTGATGTCTTTAACACCTGCAGAGGTTTCAGCCTGGAGAGTGGGTGGGGGGACGAACACCTCGTGCCATTCCCGGGTGGAGGGGAGGGTGGAGCGTGCCTGATATCACGGCACAGCCATCTCCCAACAAGTCCTGCTCCCTGTGCAGGCACCTCTCCAACACATCATAAGTTTTACCACGGGCTTAAGGCATGGGCAGCTCTTGTTACTGCCTTCTCCATCACCTCTGAAACTACCTGAGGCTGACACTGAGCACTGCTCTTGGGAGAATAATCTTATAAGGCAGAGGCCAAGGCCTCACCACCCTCCCAGAGAAGAATTTCTTCCTAATATCCAATCCAAACCTGCCCTCATCATCATCATCATCATCATCATCATCTCCTTGCCTCCTCTGAGGGTGTGAACTGGCACAAACTCAGTGATTTCAAGGGATCCCACTCCAAGCTGCCTCCTGAGGTTCCCCTGAGTCTCCCCTCCCCGTCCCTGAGTGCTGCCTACCCCATTCCTGGGTTTCTTTCCCCCACTTCTCCCCAGCATTTAATGAACATAAATAAAGCCTGGAGTGCTCTCTCCCGCTGTTTCCCTTCTCATCCTCTGCTGGAAAGGCAAACAGAGCCCCCTTTTTCTGTATGCCCAGCTCTCCTTTTCTGTGCAGAGCTGACCTTCAGCTCCAGCCAGACACGCAGCAGCGAAGGATCTGACTCCGCAGGACTTTGCAAGCCGTCATCTCACGAGGGGTTGTTTTGCCTCGTTCCTTCTGAAAACAGAGAGCACACGTGGCATTCCGTGGAACAGATGGCTGGCTGGGTCCTTGGACCCCTCTGTCCCCGCCTCCACACGTGGGCTTGCAGCAGCACTGGGGGGTTCGTGACCTCGCAGATGGTCTGGGTAAACATGGTCAGGGGGAATGGGAGGGAGGGAGGGAAGGAAAGAAGGATGGATGCACGGATGGAGAGAGGGAAGGAGGGAGGGAGGGGGGTAAAGGCTCCAGGCTCTCCCTGCCTTGCATGTGGTGCCCAAGCATTTGGTGCTCCATGAATCTTGAAGGGGGAAAAGGGTTTCATCTCACGAGGAGAAGCATCCAGGCACCACCACGCTGCAGCTTTGTTTCATGTGATGGCAAGAGCTTCCACTGGGAGTGTTTTCCACCTGCACTGAAAGTCAGTGTCCAGGCACTGGAGGAGTCTCCAGAGAGGGCAGAGGAGGAGGTGAAGGTACTTATGGGGTCGCAGAGAACATCAGGTTCATGCAGGGGGACCTCCTCTTGATGTCTCCTCCGCTCTCCCTTCGCTGCTGGGCTCGTTCTCCCGTAGCAGGTGCAGCCCTGCACAGATCCACCCTCAGGCCAGAGGTTCAGGGATTCCAAACCTGACCCTTGGCTGTGCTGAGCAGCTCTCCAGGCTTGCTCAGGGCAGGTGTGGTGATAGGACAAAACCACTGACCCTACACTCTCGCTGTGGTCCCTGCCAGGCCCTGGGAGGCAGGACTCGATATTCCCTGAACAGCATGTTCCCTGAGGCAGGGTCACCCCCAGTTTCTCCCAGTCTGGCCCAGAATCATGAGGTAGACCCAGAAAGAGGGGCCAGCATGGGAAGCAGCTGAGTGGGATTGTTTCCAGACACCAGTGCAGCTGGGGAAAGTTTATTTTGCTAAGCTGCTACTGTCCCAAAGTTATTAAAGGCACACTTGGTACATTAGCCCCTATTTTAGCCTTGCAAAGCCACTGCACTCATGACAACAGCAAGGAAATCAGTTTGTTTGCCTGGGCCTTCCTTATCTGCTCAGGAAGCCCCCAGTGCCAGGGCTGCCATCCCAGCCCTCCCAGGTCATTTTTAATGTGCTTTTAATGGCTGTGTTGGGGCATGCAGGACTGGCAGGACTGGCTCACCCTGAGCCCAACCTTTTGCAAAATCTACTCTCTTGCTTCGAGATTTTATTGTATTTCATAGAATCCCAGAATGGTTGGGGATTGAAGGACTTTAAAGACCATTTCATTCCAACACCCCTGCTATGGGGGCAGGGACACCACCTTCCACTAGACCAGGTTACTTCAAGCCCCATCCAAACCTGGCCTTGAATTAAAATTAGGATTTTAATTAAAATCAGGACTTAAATTACGTATATTTTTATACTGCAGATTTATAAACCCTGTGTGTAGGACTGATGCTGCCTTCACCCAGAGGAACCCTCGGTTCCATCCTCAAATATGCCTCTACAAACCCTTGGGTACCTTATGAACTGGAATAAGGCACACTTACAGCCAGACAGCAGGGGAACAGATCCCAAATGGGGCTTTCCCCCCCGTGTTTTCCTCTGGGATCCTGCTCCTAATATGCCAGCAATTGAAAGCCCTGGAAAAATGGATGGAAATAATCTGGGAGAGGTCTCCATTAGATCTGCTCTCGTTAGCACTGCAGGCTACTTTTTCAGCTGCTAATTGGGAGGTGCCTTCCACGTGCGGTGTCAAAAACCAAAATCACCAAGCCACACAAGCCCACCACGGCCACCCTGACATCAGGCAGCTCCAATTCTGGGGATGCCATGTCCTGGAAAAGCAGAAAGATGGGGTGGGTTCACCTGAGGACTTGGGACACACCAGGTCCTCCCCGCTCCTGCCCTGGTGGGACCACCCCATGTGTGTCCATGGTGGAGAAGGGACGGCCTCAGCACCCCAGAGGGTTTGGAGCCTGCAGGTTCAGCACTGGTGGGCGGTCACACGAGATGTTTGCTCAGTGGATTTACACAGGGACAGCCGTGGAAGCCAGGAAATGGAAAAAATGACTGTGTGCCAAGGTGGGCATTACACTAATTGGCTGTTTAAACCCGTGATTGATGAACTGTTGGTTTTTCTCTAGCACCTCCCTGGCACCCAACCCAGACTTACTGCAGAAGATTTTTACAGAAAGGGCTGAAGATGTTCCCAGATTTTAACATGGGAGCCCATACTGAGTGTCCCTCAGACACAGGAAGCTCCCGGACAGCTGAACTTGGATTTCTCTCCTGGGGAGGCAAGGATAGCCCAGCTATTGGGCTGGAAGCTGTGATTTGGCTTGCCTTCTACCTGAACTGCACAGATCAATAGTGACAGGAACAGGGAGGGGAAAGCCATCAGCTGGCTTGCAGTGGCACTACAGTGCCACCAACACAGAAAATCAGACACCGACAAACAGGCTTTTTTTTTCACCCCCTTGGAGTGACACAGGTTATTTTTCAGGCTCTGAGCACTCACTTCTTTTGGGCCTGTCAGCACCAACAATGACAACCTCTGCCAGTGGGTGGGAGCAGCCCATCAGCCTGGTGCGTGGAGCCGCCTGTGATTTACGGAGAGCCCCACGGAGCGTTGGATCTCGCATCGTTTCAAGCGGGATTGTTTTTTACTGTTGGCTCCACGCTGTAAATTTGTCTTCGCCTGACATAATTAACAGCATTGCCTCGCACGGGCAAGGTGATTTACAGGCCTGGAAATCGCTGGAATAGTAAGGGCATCGCTGGGGAATTCGGGAGAGGTGCTGGGGGAGGCGGGAGAGCAGCCTGGACCACACCAGTGGGTGCCCACGCGCTGCCCCCCACGCTGTGAGGGTTGTCAGCCACTGGCAGGAGCTGCCCAGGGAGGTGGTGGAGGTGTCCAAGGAACAACTGGACGTGGCTGGGCTGGGTGACAAGGTGGGGATTGGGCACAGGTTGGGCTTGATGGCCTGGGAGGTGTTTTCCAACCTGGGTGATTCTGTGATTCTGCCCCTTTGAGTTCTTATCTCACGGCAGGTATCAGATGGAGAAACTATTGCACTAAAGAAATCATTCCCTGGGCATGAGGGAACAATGACAGTTTTCCCCAAGACAAGAGCAAGGAGTCATCCAAAACATGAATAACCACAAAGTCTGGCCCTGTCTCTGTTTCTATTTAGGAGAAACACGCAGGAGATCAAGTTCTGCAGATAACTTGGCTGGTCCTTGGCTGCATCACTGACATGTCTCCATAGGCTCATCCCTAAATAACTGAGCTTCAGAGCTGGGACTGGCAGTTCTTCCCCCAGAATAACTCCTTCAGTGAGGCAAATGCAATTTCTGAAAACTCTGAGTTTTCTGCAGGAAAGTGTTTGAAGCCATTTTCTCTTGGGAGCAAACAACAACAACAACAACAACAACAAACCTCTCACAAGCCAAGCAATATTTCATTTCATTTCAGTCTCTTTGGAATAAAAGCCCTGCAGTTTGTGAATCTGAGCTGAGAGCCTAAATTTCAACCATTTGGCACTCACCAGAATCTGCAAAAATTTTGCTGTGGTGCCATTTGTGAGCTGTCAATCAGGCTGGGTTTATTTCCCACGATAATTTCCACAGCCCTGTTTACCTGGAGTCCTTGTGAATCAGGAGAAACACAGCACACCCCAGGAATTTAAGGTCTAGAGGATATTTAGTCACGTTTCCAAGCCCTGGTCTGGTAGAGCCTGGGGATACAAAGGAGCCCCTTAAACCTGAGGAGCCCAATTCCCTAAATGCTAAATTATTTAGAAGGAAGCTGCCCCATCCCTGGGAGTGTTCAAAGCCAGGTTGGACGGGGCTTGGAGCAACCTGTTTGCTCCAAGGGAAGGAGCCCCTTAAGATCCTTAAAGGCAGCTTAAAGGTCACCTAGTTCTAATTCCACCATCCCTGTGTGTTTGCCTGTATGGATGAGCTCAGTGAATGCTGGACATGAATTCCTGGACATCTGGGTGTACTGGTGCAACTTCCCACTCAGACACTTTCACCCTGGTATACAAACCCCTATTTCATGCAGATGATCTCAGCTTGGAGGAGATGAAAATAAATCTCTATTCCTATCCTGGAACGAGTATTCTGCTCTGGCACTCCATTCCTAGGACTGTCTGGATTAGCTACAGCAGAACAGAGAAGAGATGTCTACTTTTGGGAAGGAAAACATGTTATGCTGTTTCACAGCTCAGGGAGCACCCCTGGGTACCCAGCAAAATGTAAGGGAAGACACCTATTCTAATTGCCCCTCATTTCCCCATCATCCTCTGAGGCTGCACCCATCCAGCCCTGCTTACCCCTGGGTGTCCCACAGACATTCCAGCTGCCACCCCAAACCCAAGTCCTGGGAGCCAGGATGGCAAGAACAGCCGGTTGCTACCAAAACCACCAGGATTAGGAAGGAAAAGAAGGAGCAAAACACAACCTGCCCAAGAACCAAGTTCTGGGTTGGGCAGCCTAAGAGCTTGATCAAACCAGCTAGAAGACATAACCCATTCCCTCAACAAAAAGGGGCTGTCAGGAACCCCTGCATTCGGCCTCAAAGTCCAAATTCCAGCCCCAAACTCTGCTTGTGGGAGGAAAAAAAAAAAGCAGCCAGCCAAAAGCAGAAAGTGGAAAAGGCTCTTTGCATTTTTCAGGCTGACCCTCAGAAACAGAACACAGGAGAGCCTAAATGCCCCTCTGAAACCATCCCCCGGCACATCCTCACGTGACAGAGCTGGTACCTGATGATCACGATGGAGGGGGGTCTTGCACAGGCTCCTGGGCCAAGGAGGCAACGAGGAATCCAGCAGTTATTTCTCTTCTAGGTCCTGGCATCTGCATGTGTGATAGATAAGGGTGAAATAAGTCTTCTCCAGGGGTTGTAGAGGAGAGGCTCTCTTGAAGTGCTCCTTCCCATGAACAAAAACTGCCCAGCTGTATTCAAAGCAGCAGCAGTGGCTGCTGGGGTGGGTGGAACAAGAGAGAGGCAAAATAGGAAAGATTAGAAATAGAAGGTGAAAAAACCTCAAAAATAAAGCAGAAAAAGCAGCAGAAGAACATTCTGAGAGCAGATGGAGCAGGTTCTGGCTCCTCTGGCTGCCAGGTGCATCCACTTATCACTCCCAGGGGCAGCACAGCAATACCCCTGGTCTCTACACCAAGGCCAGGCTTACCTTGCACTCACAACACCTTCCCAAGTGCAGGTGATCAGACACACCACGGGCTGGGCAATAATAGGGTGACCCCCTTTCTGTACTGGGGTTTTTTGCCTGTCTCCTGAGCCGTGGAGTTTGCTTTCCATAGCTGACTGGAACGCCAGAATGGTTTGGGTTGGAAGGGACGTTAAATCCAGTGCCAGATTTTCCCAAGACAGGCATTTCTGATGGGGAAAGTGAGGGTTTCCCACGGAGATTTCCATGAAAATATCCCCAGTTTTCCGGTGTGCATTAATGGGAGAGCTGTTGTGTAAGAGGATGATGCATTTTATCCGGTTCAAGTAGGTCAGTGGGCAGCAGGAGAGAACTTTGGGCTCTGGCTGTTGGGTGACCTTGGAGAACCACTACCGTGCCACATTCCCATCTGTGAGATGGGGACAAGGAACTGTCACACAAGAACTTGCTGGGTTATTAATAGAGGCCTCTGGCTGAGATTCCAACACAGCCCAAGGGGTTGAGAAACCCATTTATTCTTTGCAATTCAAAGCAGACAAGTGACTCAGATTTCCTTGACACTTTTGAGCACAAAAGTCAGGGGGAAAGTGCTCTCCAAAGCATTTGTCTTGAGCAAAGCAACCATACAAATGTGTGATTTTCTACTGTTTCCAAATACAAATGAAAGCAAATTACCAATGAAGCTGAAATGTTTGGTTTGGTTTGACTTTTATGCTAGAAAGTCAGATAGAAATCTGAACATAACCACTCTGCATGTTTTAGTTGTGGTAGAAAAACAGGCAATGCAGGCAAAAAAAAAAAAAAATTTACTATACAGGATGGAAATGTTTCCATAAATTTCCTGTTGAAACTGTAGGTGAAATGGATACATTCTCCCAGAATGTTTGGATTTCATTAAATGGATCCAATAGCAGCAGCAGTGTGGGTTTGCCTTAAGGGTCTCACAGACATAAAGGAGTTTCTCCAGCATTGGTGTAAATTAATTCCTGGGACAATTGATAAGACCCTGGATAGAAAGGAGGTGACAAAGATCCACGGAAGGGTCGTGGCAAGATTTTGTGTGGGGTGAGGACTGGAGCAGGGCAGGAGCCTGGGACAGGGGAACACCACTGATGGCATCTCATGCATCTCAATGCTGTGCTCTAGGATGGGATACTCTAATCAGGATTTCTTAATTGTGCATTCCTAATCGAGGCCAGCCCCAACCCAGAGGGAGCAGGGAGAGTTCAAGGTGTGGGAGCACTTTTCACAGAGCAAAAAGGGAGATTGTATTTTGGGGAAGGGGATGAAAGCAAAGCAGAAGGGTCCTGGCATTTTATCTGTATCCTGAAAATAGCCACTCCCATGTAGAGGCAGGGGAATTGTCTGATCTTCCTTTCCAGCTCTGTTTTCAGTGGTAAAATGGATACATCTTGTTTTCATTCTGACCTTTTACAAAATCTGATACAGCTTCTTGGACTACATTAAAATGACATTTGGAAACAAACAAATGGAAGACTTGACCAGAATCTTTGCAAGGTCTTTTTTCCCCCCTCCTGGAAAGTTTTCATTTTGACAAAGGAGAGTTTACCACAGGGGTAAAAAAAAAGAAAAAAAGCAATAATCATTCCCTTGGAAATTCCCATTCTGCCCCCTGCCATGGGCAGGGACACCTTCCATGGCTCCAAGTCCAACCTGGACTTGGACACTGCCAGAGATGGGGCAGCCACAGCTTCTCTGGGCAACCTGTGCCAGCATCTCACCACCCTCACAGGGAAGAATTTCTTCCCCATATCCCATCTATCCCTGCCCTCTGGCAGTGGGAAGCCGTTCCCTGTGTCCTGTCCCTCCAGGCCCTTGTCCAAAGTCCCTCTTGAGCTCTCTTGGAGCCCCTTGAGGTACTGGAAGGCCACAAAATGTGAAACTAGCCTTAGGTTTAATTTGACTAAACTCACATTTTGAGGTGTCTGAGAGTCAGGCTCAGTTTTTCCAGTTCAGTATCACTATGAAATACGATTCAGTATCAGCAAAACAACAAAGGAGGAGGGGAATATCCCATCCTTGCAGAGTTACACAAAGCTGAGCTCTGTTCAGTCAGAGCAGTGAGTGGAAATCTTCATAACATAACTCAGTTTTTTCCTCATTTCTGTGTATTTAAGTAAAAACACCAAAAATGTAACAGCAACTGGAAATAAGAAAAAGAACAACCAGCCAAAATTAGAAAGTTTGGCTTGGATTCTCGCTGCTACTCTCTTTTCCAACACTTTCTCCTGAAAACCACAAAGTAGCACTACACTACTTGAAAACAGGCTCTGCAGACGGATCCTTGTGGCAGAGATATTTGTACAGCCTGGGGGGGAGCTTTGCAGCACAGTCTGGAATCTGGAGCAGAGCAACCCAGCAGGCTGATTTCTCCAGGAAAAAATAAAAAATAATCAAAAATCAGAGCTGGAGTTTTTCTTCCAGCTTTTCTCCACCCCTGTGCCAGCTCTGCCCAAGGAAATAAGCAAAACCAGAGGGAGAAATCTTCCTTCCTCCTTCACTGTGTTTTGTTCCACTGCTGCACGGACAAGTAAAAAAAATAAAATCAGGATTTTTATTTTTACTGAATCTGAGGATGCCTTTTGGATGTTTTGGCCTGCCACTTAGCTCCTGGGAAAGGAGCACGATGCCTTTGGGCTGAATAAGAAGCCCTTGGTTGGAGGCACTGGCATGGCTATTTAAAATGGGAGTGGAATTTACCTGGAAAAATGGGACTGAATAAAAAAAAAATAAAAATGGAGAAAGGGCTGAAATAAGCCCTGCATTGCTCTGGGACTGGGTTTCTCCAGAGCTCCCAGGACTGGCCTAAGGCTGCTGCACTCACTGACAGCACAGCATCAGCATCACTGGGCACAGAGTCAAGCCAAGGCTGAAAGCTCCACTTCTCATTTTTCTGGGTTGGGTTTCCATCCACTTCCTACTCAGCTTGGGCTGTTTATTGCTTTCCTGCAGTCCATGGAGGATTTCTTGTACATGTGCAACTTCCCTTGTTCCACAGCTGAGCAGCGGAAAATAACAACAATAATTAAAAAAAAAAAAAAACAACTGCTAAACCCCACAGCAGAGCACTTCTTGGAGAAATCTGCTGAAATCAAAAGGTGGAATGATGACACTTTGATGGTCCAGGCAGGTTCCTGCCCAGCAGCCAACAAGGGCAGATGCCAACTCCCCTCCTGTGGACCCCTCACATCATGAGCTCAGTTCCTCCCCATCCCGGGAGGGGCTGCCCCAGATCTGGGCGCTGCAAAAAGACATTTAAACTATTTTTTTTAACTACTGTGCCTCAAAAGGTTTGTTCTGGTTTGGTTCAGCTGCCTACCAGGGTCCTCTCTGAGGTCTGTTTCCATTTAAGGGGGGAAAGCCCCAGCGGTTGGGTCTCTGTTTGATTTGACTCACTGCATCACTTTCGGGCGCTGCGTAGGCAGGAAATCACAGCGGAGCAGAGCTGGGTATTCCCCACCACACCTGCACCAGGCTCACAACCCCTCCTGCCTCAGGTGCTTGTGCAGGAAACAGCCCCAACCCTGCCTGCACTTATCTGAGAGAAGCTTAGACTGCACTGAAGTCAGGTTTAAGCACGAGTTTAAGTGCACTTGAGATAAAACACCGACCAAAGAAGACATTGTGCAAGGACTGCACACTCCAGGACCTGCCATTCCTGGGAGTTTATGTGCTGGCAAAGGTTAAACAGATGGAAAGCAAACCATCAGGCCGCTGAAGATGGAACAAAGCAGTGAAAAGCAGCTAGAAACTAGAGCAGGAAAAATGTGGATGGAAACAGCAAAGTTAATCACAACTAGCTTCCCTGAAGCACCGAGATGTGATGAAATAATATTTTTGTTATAGAAAGCAACGTAAGTTCTGAATTTGCTTTTACCTGAAATGGGTAAAAATCGTTTGCAGGTTTTAAAAAAAAAAAAAAAAAAAAAAAAAAAAAGAGAGATGGTTTCACTCTGACTAATAATTTTAAAAAACAGCATGGAAAATGTTGTTCAAATAAGCTAAAAGGCTACAGCAAGCCCTCAGACAAAGCTGAAATGAATCTGTCAGGAGTGGTCTCTTTGGCTTCAAGAACTCACGGAAACAAGAAAGATTGGAGTCTGGAACAAAAGTTGAATAATTAGCCCAAGGTAAGTGGTTAACGAGTGCTAAATATACATGTCAGTGAAAGATATACAAACCCAAAGTGGCACTTCTCAGAGATGATGTAAGGTAGGAATAGCCATAAATGAAATCCCTCAAGCTGCCCCTTTGGGATAGATTTGCCACTTAAAGAACAGCAAAGTGGAGTTGTGACCCCACTGTTCTCCCTGTTCCTGCCTCCTCCATCGCCCTGCACCTACAGGGCCCTCTGAGCCCTACCCTACCCTACCCTACACCCACCCCAACTGAGACCCACTTCTGGCAGCTTCTCTGCTCCTCTCCTGCGCTTTGTGAGGGGCAAGGGGGGCTGGAAACACACCAACCCACGGTCAAATATCCCATCTGAGGCAGCACCAGCTGCTTTAAGCTGTGATTTATCTGCGTAGGGGCAGTCCCCGGTGTTTAAAGCAGGGCTGCCAGCCAGTTCGAGCTCGCTTTGCCCATCAGACTAAACAGGTTGGGGCCTGGCTGACAGCCATCACCACACCAGGTGATCCATCACCGTCCTGGGGAGCCCCAGGAGTGCAGATCCCCCCGGCACGGGCGTTGCTCCCATCCGAAGCCCCGCGCGGGGCGAGGGTGGAAGGACCCCAGGCGTTGTTTATTTTGGATGTCGTGTCACGGCAATAAATAAGGCCAAGGAGCAGCACGTGTTAGCAGTGAGTCAGCTCTGGACGGCAGCAAAACAGATGATCTCAGAGCTGAGGGGACCTGACGGGGTGGAGGGGGGGCCCTGCTGGTTTCCCCAGGGTAGGATGTGGTGGCAGCCCCCCCAGGTCCCCGTGCATGACCCCCAAGGACATAAAATCCACAGTCACAAGAGCCTGGCGGGCACAGAATCAAACCCAGACTGAGGGCTGCTGGATTTTAGTTGATATCTGCCTGTTGCTGCGTTACATCCTCTCTGCCTTTGATTTTCGGTGTCAACCAAAGGACAGCGAAAATGGCTTTGCCTGGGAGCAACATCCAAGCTAAGGATAGGGATTTCCAGCCTTCCAGCCCCTGAGATGTTCACTTCAGGGATGACACTGCGCTACCAACCCCATAGAAACAGAGAGGAGAATAGGACCTAAAAAGCATAAAACAA